TTCCCGAATCTCATTTGCTGCAGTGTGATGTGAAAAATATAGTGTTCCAGTCAACCCTGATCTTTCCTACCCATTTCATGCTATATTCATTGTTCAAGAAAGCTGCACTCATTCAAAATATATACTGTACATACAATATTGTATGTGTGTATGTATACACACACACACACACACACATACACACATATACAGTGTGTGTATAATATATATATATACAGACACACAGAGAGAGATACACAGATACACACATATCATCATCAACATCATCTTCTTTTAATGACCCCATAATCCCTTGAGGAGTGGTGTCTAGGTGACTGAATGGAGCTGAGTGTTTACTGGCCAGATGTTTTGCTCAGCCGTTACATTCTCATTGTGCCCAGAGAGAGAAATATCTACCTCTACCTAGGATAGAACTCACAGCTTCCTGATTGTGAGGGAAGAGCTCAACCTCTAGACCACCATAACACACACACACACACACACATATTCATAAAAATCAACACAACAATAAATAATAAAATGACAGTAATATGACAACAGCACAATGGCCTCTGAGTAAATCAAACTCAAATCACATAATCCTAGTCATGTCAGAAAGCAGATGTTTGTGTGTAAATAAAGTGATGGAATCAGACCTGGGACCTGTCTGAGACCATCATTTTATTTTATTTTGTTTTATTTTGATAAATCCTTGTAAAGGATTGTTCCAAAGGCAGGTGCTGTGAAAGAGAACAGAAGATTCACTTCATGGTTGTACCACTTAACAGATGAGACCAGGTACAGGTTCGCTTTCTTGGACCTAGCAGGCTAGGCAGAAATATTTGGAGAAAAAACTTGGCCTCATAAAGAGCTTTATAAAAGTTCATCTTGAATTTGCACCCACACACTATTGGGAGCCAGTGCAGCTCATGGACAATGGTATATTCTGGCATATTGTGTTTGCCCATTACTGTCCATACTAAGGGATCTTCAAGGCAGCCCCCTGCAGAGCACAGTGCAGTAATCAAAGAGGTGACCAAGGTATGAGCAACCATGAGATGCACTTTTGTCCATCTAAAATTGATTATTCACTGAATTTATTTGCTCCCAAATCTTTTTAATATTCTGGCAACTTACTAGAAAAAAGCCTAGTGAAGGAACCTGAAGAGTGATCCAACCTGCCAAGAGGAAACCTTTGGTAGCAGCAAAATATTCAACTTACAAGAGTAAGTTTAATGTAAGATTAATGCCATAAGACACATAAAGACAGAGACAGACAGACAGACAGACAGACAGACAGACAGACACACACACACACACACACAGAGAGAGAGAGAGAGAGAGAGAGAGATTTGTTAGTTAGTTTGTATGAGCTTTAAAGGATACCTGACTCCAAAATACATCTGGGAGACTTACATCAAAAATAAGAACTACAAGAGGAAAAGAGCAACAGCAACAACAAAATGACCATCAGGCTTCTACAAACACCCTACTACCCCAAGGCCTGGGAGAAGAGCCAAATGATTAAAGACTTCCAGAGTGGGGTCAGCATGGATTTCTAAAGGGTTATCATTCCAAAAAGCAAGTCCTCCAATTCTTTCAAGAGATGTAAAAGGGAAAATAACAACGGAAAAGTAAATTTTAATTTTTTTTAACTATGCGTTTTTGTAATACATAATTTGATTTTCTAAATCCACTTACACTTCTTCATAACACACAGCCAAGGACCACTTCTAATCTACCATGTATTGATTTTCAATACCTTTTCACAGCTCTCCACCATTTGTTTTCCCCTAGCTTTTCTCTCTTTTTTTTTGTGCTTTAAGTGAATTTTACACAATTAAACTAACAGCTAAATGGATGAAAAATAATGGTATTTTAATCAGTTGATGCCCTGGTGCTAGTGAAAACAGGAATATGAAATGCATTTATCTCTTTATTGCTTTTTCTTCCTGCTTCAACTTCCTTAGTTTAGTATACTTGCATTATAGCCAGACAAGGACAATCAGCAGGATGATAAATGAAATGGCAACTGATTTCTAACAATGTGACCTTGAATGACACTGATGACATTTATGACTGATGTGGAGGCATATGATTTGTAAATGACAGCTGGAGAAGCAAAAAAAAAAAAAAGATTAGGCCACCTAAACTATTTGAGAGATAAAGTGCCTTTGATAACACTTTTTCCCTTTTCTTCCTTGGTTGGAAAATATTTCATTTATTAGAAATGAATTTTTTGGAATGCTTATATGAAACTCTGATCTCTGATTCAGAACTTAAATCAGCCAGAGGTCCACATAACTAAAATAGCTACGCAGAAGTAGAAGGTCCTGTATGTTTCAAAAATTAAAGTGAGCAAGTTGACAAATTTTGATTGAAAGATATTTATTTATTTATTATTTATTTGATTTGTCAATCGCTTACAAGATAATAGGTATAAGTATAAACAAGAGTAAGACTACAGGAAATAGGTGCGAATAAATGGGGACAATAGGACAGGGACGGAAGGCATTATTGTGCACTTATGCACACCTCTTACAGACCTCTTAGGAATGGGGTGAGGTCAATAGTGGATAGTTTAAGGTTAAAAAAATACTATCTTACAATACTTTTTAAAAATACTTTAAATATTTAAGTATTTAAAAATACTTTTTTCTTTGCAAATCTTCCATATGACTTGTAGAAGAAGGAAATAAAAATTCTGAAAACAGAAGAAAGATGACAGGAATTACAGCGATTTCTCTAACTCTAGGTAAACTTCTGATAACAGCCAAGTTGTGCATAGAGACTGGGGATGAAGTAAGTAAGCATTTATTCAATTAGTTTTAAAAGAACATTAACAAAGTGATACAAACTGATGCAGCATATACTAAAAGACAAGTTACATATTACATTCACACCTCTGTTACCATATTAATGCATGAACTGCCCAAGAAATGATAAATTAAAAAAATTAAAAAACCTCTAATATAGAGTAAACATCCCCTAGCAACTTATTAATTAAAAATTACTATCAAAAATAATATTAAAGATAAAAGTGAATATCAATTTTTAAAAAGCTTATTTTCATTGCAACAACACAAAATCTAGCTACTACTGAGGTAATCCCAGGTTTTAAATCCTGGAGGAGATAATTCAGAAAACATTTGACTGATCTCCCTGGGAATTTATCTATTAGGGGTCAAATATAAATAGACCTTTTGTCCCTATAAAACAAACACTGTCATAATACATGTAAGGTGGTTTCAAATTTCTTATCATCACACAGACAAATGTGCTTCACTGAAAGTACTTTATTATACCTGCCTTGGAGTAATGCTGATGGAAGAATATTGTATCTGATTTTTTTAAAAATCAACTTGGATAACTTATTTTTGCAGATAACTTTCTGGTTCCCAAGTACCTCTAGAGGTGCTATTCAGCAGGTTCTAACCAGTTCTGGAGAACCAGTAGCGGAAATACCACCCCGCCCCCATCTCTTCTCTGCCTCCCACTGAGTCCAGCTGATTGGCTGGGTCTTCTTTTGTTGCCCTGCACAGGACAACAGAGCTGGAAAGCAGGTTAGTGGGGTGGGGAGGGAATGAAGATTTTACAATAACCTTTCCCCCAGGAGAAGAGTGGGAATTCCCCAATAAAGGATATCTATCATTATCTATCTATCTATCTATCTATCTATCTATCTATCTATCTATCTATCTATCTTTATCTCTTTATCTCTCTCTCTCTCTCTATCATCTATCTATCTGTATATATGTATATATATCTTAATATTTTCAAATCATATTGTGTTAGTACCATTAGCTTTTAGATATCTTTTTTATAGGTTGCACTGAAATAGATATAATTCTTATTGATGTCATTTGTATGCTCTTCTATGACCAAATAAAGACTGATTTAAAACAACAATTGCGAGACTTTTCAGATGTCCCATTCTTTACACTAATAAAGGCAAAAATACTTTTCTGTCTGAAAACATTGATAAATGAGTGTGATATGATGAAGGAAGTACGTGTCAGAAATTGGTTATCCAATTTTGTACCAGTTGTTAATTGTTAATTTCCAAATATTCTTCAAAGGCAATTCAACATAGGTAAATAATTGTTATGATCACAGAGCAGCAACTTAAATAGTGAATTATGTGGGGAAAAAACAAACAGAAAAATAAAAGAGCCAAAGCATGAGTAAAGAAAACATAGTATAAATATTATCATAAATATTATCTAGGGAGAAGAATAAAATGCTTAAAGCCCAAAACATTTCTAAAGCTTCAGTAAGAATGCATAAAGCAGTTTACTACAATATAGTAAATCCAGGCAGCAGAACACTAAAAATAAAACTCGAGAAATAGAAACAAAATGGCTAATAATATAAATATTTGGAGTATAAAATAGTGAAGTGTTTCTTTTAAACATTAGATTACAAAATATATAGAAACATGAGTTAATCCAATGATAAGTATACAAATAAATATATAATAATCAAGATAGTATATTGGTCAGTGACAAGTAAGGAAATAAAACTGGGTACAAAGTAGGTGATTTAAAAAACAACAAACACTTCATGTTAATAAAATCAGAGACTAAAGAGAATAATTTTCTGTATAGGGCACTGATAGCTGAAAGAAATTTTGCAAGTTTCTTGGTGTTAAGTTCTGGTCTGACAGCATAGAACAAGTGAGGTTGTCCTTAGAGGAAAAGGGACTTCTGTTGGTAAGTGGAATATGAGGATGGTCCATTGATTACTATAAAAAGGACAATGAAGGAACACTTGAACCAAGATCTCAAATTTCTACAAAGCACAATGAGAGATTCATTCTGCAAAAGGGATATTATTATTTCCTCCCAATAGAGGGCAAGATATCAAAACAGATTCTGACGAGTAAGTTTCTTGTAAGTAAAGTTACTGTAAATAAGTCACTACAAAAAAGTTTCAGTGACTGATCTATATATATTGGAAAACCTATGATAGGGACAAAGTTCTAAAGTTTGTAGCTCTTTCTCCTTCCACATGAAGGACATCAACCCACTGCTAATGTCCTGGGGCTAGAAAATACAGTTTCCACGTGTCTCTTGCTTTCAGCAACTAATTGATTTGGTATCAATCTGTTTCTTTATAACCATCTGAGAACTGACTTTCCCATTGGTTATATATCCCTTCCACTGATAATTTGATAAGAGTGAAATAATTATACCCATGCATGCATCAGCTATTTCCAGCTTTAAGACTCCCTAACCTTTAATAGGGAGGAGACAAACAATACAGACTCTCAAAATTCTGCTAATGTAATGTATGACACAGAATCACAGAGTTGGAAGGGACTTTAGAGGTCTTCTAGTCCAACCTCTGCACAAGCAGGAAGCCCCTATACCATTCAAGGCAAATGGTTGTCCAGTCTCTTCTTAAAAGCCTCCAGTGTTGGAACAGTCACAACTTCTGGAGTCAAGTTGTTCCACTGTTTTCGCTGTCTAATGCATCATTAGACATTATCAAGTGGAATGGAAGAAAATTAGGTCTGATAACCAGATGGATGGATAGATACTTTTAGTTCTAGAATCTTCTCCAGTTAATTTTGTATATTTCTGAAGTTTCATCTCAATAAAGCTTAGTTCTAGTCTTCTTGTGCAGTCAGTTTTCTGGTCTGGTCAACCCCAAAGGGCTAACATTTGAAAGGAATCAAATGACAGCTTGTCACATATCAATTTGTATACTTGTATGCATGTGTATTATGTGTCTGCACAGTACATAAATGTTAGTTTTGAAAATATTACTTTCTACATATAATAATTTAGTCGCTACCACAGTACTTCCAGGTTTTAGCAACAGTACAATTAAATGAAACAAATGTTTGAAAAACAAGGCATACATTTATGGTTAAATATTGCATAATAAACTAAACACATCTGGCAAAATAAAAGCTCTCTTCAAGTGCTACCATATTTTAGTGGAAGTTAAAATGTTTTATAACACAATCAGATGATCTCATTTTTCACAAGTACTAATAAAATCCAAGTAAAAATAACAATGAAAAAAATGTAAACTGTAGCTTAGGGATATTAATGACAAGAGATTTCAGAATTTTTAACTTCCACCAATACATCAATATGTCAACATGTATGTGTTTGACATTACAATCCACTTTAATGTTTCAAACAATGTTGTGCCAAAGATTCTTTTGCATTTTTCATCATTCTTATTCAATTTGTGCTTGAATAAGCTATTGTGGCTTTGCTTAATTTTGAACAAAAAATTATAACAAAATTCTCAGGGATAAATAAGAACTAGTCCTTACCTTAATTACAATGTGGCTGAGAAATGTCAATGACCATCTTATTTTTCATTGTGTTCAAATCTCTGGAGGTTTAATATCCTGCATGCAGCCTATTCTTCAATTAAATTTCAAGGTATGCCTGCATCGAAAATTCCTCTCAGGAGTCTTTTTAAAATTAGAAATAATGGGTGGCTAGGAGGGCTGGAGAATGATGCAGAGGTGGGTAACATGAAGAGTGAAAGAAAAGAAAGCAATATTAACACTCTCAGCTGCCATCAACAAAAGCAAGCTAAAAAGTACCTTGAAGAAAATATTACTATCAACCATGCTGTGAGAAAAAAGGCTTTGGAAACCTATTTTGCATGGAAAGAAAACTTTCAGAAAATTAGAACAACAATTCTGTTCCCATTTCAACAAAGGGTTTGTAACATTCATAGTTAGAAAATAGAACACTGTTAACTCTGATTTAAGAACTAATATTCTTGTCAGCTAAAATCCTAGAGCTGTACTGGGTGGGAATATCAATTTTTTTCTAACCTAGGTTAACTGTAAGCAAGCTGTTACAAAGAAATTCCAAGAAACAATAAAACTGATATCTTTAGGTAATTATAAAAAGATTTTAACTTCTATCCTTTTAAAGGCATAATCCTTGTGTAATATTCTTTTTTCTTTCTTTTTCCCTTTGGGAAATCTAATCTACTTTGATAGGAGTATCCTCTATAGCTGCAAAATTAAAGTAAACTTATGTAAATTTTTAGGTGGTCTTATTTGTGTATTTTTCTCCTGTCTCCAGTTTTATATAATAAGCCATCTGGCTTAGTGAAAACCTTCTTTAATGTCATATCCTCACCCTTGTGGTTCGATGAGATGCGAAAAGATCCAGGATGACAAACTTCTCTTGCATAAATGTTATGAATAAAATGCATGGAAACAGAACAGATTTTGACTTGATTCAAACAACAGTGTAAGATGAAATTCTGCACACTTCCATAAAATAAAAATAAATTTTGAAAGTAACAGAGTATCTTGGAATATTTGCAGCATTTAGAATATTAGGCCATATTAAGTGCCATTAAGTAGCAATAGCAATAGCACTTAGACTTATATACCACTTCACAGTGCTTTACAGCCCTCTCTAAGTGGTTTACAGAGTCAGCATATTGCCCCCAACAATCTGAGTCCTCATTTTACTGATCTCAGAAGGATGGAAGACTGAGTCAACCTTGAGCCTGGTGAGATTCGAATTGCCAAATTGCAGGCAGCTGCCAGTCAGCAGAAGTAGCCTGCAGTACTGCATTCTAACCACTGCACCACCACGGCTCTTAAGTAGACTTGAGTACTGATGTTTGTAGTTAAATATCATGAATTTGAATGCTGTTAATGTACCAGGAGTGTCTCATGTCCAAGGTGGTGGCTCCATGCAATCAACCACAATCTGATTTAAATATTTATTTTCTTCTGCATAGTCTTTGATATGAAAGAGGCTCTCTAGTAAAAGGTTTGTTCCTTGCAAACAATGTGACAGATGGTTCTGATGTTCTCACTATTTCTTAGATCTTAGGAAAGGACCCAAGCAGAAGTTAGCCCTTGTTGAAGAGTTTAGTTGGCAGTCAAGGGCACCTGCTGTTAATGTAAGCCCTCCTGAAAGAATCACAGCAGGTGGAAACTCTTAGCTGACCTTGGCTGATCCACAAAAGCCCAGCAGGGTCAGCTCTTGTTAATAATGTACTCAGATGAGAGTCAATTAAGCAATTACCCCAGTCGTAGCTATCCACAATTTTCTGAGAAGAAGACAGTGGCAAACCAATTTCTATATTGTGGACAAGAAAATGATACCAGCGTGTTCATGTAGTTACCAAGAATGATGTTCAGCTCAAAGCGATCTTTATTTCTGGTGCAAAATGAAAAATCTTTAAGCTCAGTGAAATGTAGCTATCCTGCCGATGCCAGCATGAAACTTTTGTGCCAAATTCCATTGCTTTTATTGGAGGAGGAGGAAGAGGGTGCATTGCTTTTCATTGCCTTACTTTGTAGTTCAAAGTAACTGTGAAGTGCCAAGCTCCATCCTTTGAAACATTTTACATCTCTGTGCCTACATCCACAGCATGTTACTATTTTCCTTCACCACATAGTCAAATCACCCAGGCCTTCAAAAACCATGTTTAAAGATATAACACTGTGTTCGAGTTTGAGAATAAAGTTCTTCTGTAAAATGCCAGATTGGCAGCATGAGAGACTGGGTATTTTGAGAGACAATCATTCAAGAATTTCCAAAGTTTTGACAGTGGCATTTCACTTTGTGTCGTTTTGGAAGATTGTTTTTCCAAAGGGAGAGTTTGGCACAAAACCAAATCAATTGCACTTTAATCTGTACAAAAGAATGTGGGTTTATAGAAAAGGGGACAAGGAATCACTAGGTAAACAAATGTTCAATTCTATAGAACTATCCTAGAAAACAAATTGCTCAAATAATGAGGCATGCTGGCATTTGTGATACCCTCATTATTACTTTTGGCTTACTGTAGGAAGCAAATATGATATCTAAGCATTCATTCCATGGGACACTTACCAGTTACCTTGATTCCTATGGATTCATAAGCAACTATTAATAGTAGCATGGAGGCTTTTGAACAACCTGGAGAGCGTATAAAACATTTGAATAACTTGGGGGGGGGAGGGACATGAGTCTTTTAAAGTCCAAATTCTTACATGATTTGATCAACTTGTATATATTTGTAAGAAAAATATTGCAGACACAAATGATTCAAAATTCAAATGTAATTATGACGAATGATCCAGCAAGGTATGTATTTTAAATCTTGTTCCTCAAGATGTATAGGATTTTGATTTCCTAGCTGTGTTGGTTTAGGAATGAGAATGAAATGGGTATGGTGTCATCAGAAATATAATAAATTACTAATCATTTGTAATAATGTCTCCTTGAGACTCCATGGCTCCAACTCTTTTGGCCTTCTGCAAAAGCCTTAAATCTAGCTGTTCTCCCAAGTTCTGGGCCAGGATGTTCAGAGATCTTGATTTGTAAGTTCGGGGGGGAGGGAAAAAGTTGAATTAGACTGAAGTACAATATGGTATGTTAGCTGTTGTTGTTATTTTGTATGTTGGTATCATTGTTTCAAACTCTGGGAAACTTCCCAGACTTATACAATGAGATGGTCAACCATATACAATTTTTAATCAATCAAAAACAAAACAAACAAACAAAAATACTTTGTACTTAACTAAAGCAAAATACAGCAATGCATGTTAATGTAGTTAAATATCAGGACAGGATCTATCTATCTATCTATCTATCTATCTATCATATCGCCTTTGTTAGCCAGGGATCACCAAGGTGGATGGCTGCCTTTGTGAAAGGAATGTTTTTTTTCCCTGGCAATATTATCTTTACCAGTGGGATGCCTGAATCCCGGTAGGCATTCGGGGGAGGCTTTTTTCTTGTCCCTGCACAGTTTATTCACTCATAGGAATCGAACCTCCGAGCTGCCGACCACAGCAGTGCGCAAGCCCAGCATCTTACCACATGAGCCACCACAGCCCTCCCTTGATAGGATAGGACTAACATTGTCTGATAGTCCAAATGCATACACCTGGCATGTTCAGGACATTTTTTGTGGTTAAAAAAGTCATAACCAATAAAGCAATTCTTGATACTTTCTCAGAAATAAAAGCCCTTAAACTCAGAATCACAAAAGGCATATCTATAAAAGTTGCCCCATACCATGATTTGTAGTCAATCTTCTAATGTTTCCAAACTTCTATGTAGAGTTGTTAAGTCATCAGCTGAAAGTGGCATTTCTGGCAGAAAAAGTAGCCAAGACTTAGCAGTCTGCTAAATGTTTACCAATCACATATCTGATTTGTGTTGAGATAGTTGACATATTGGGAATTTTTCCAAGTGAATATATTGTACAAGCAAACTAGCAGATCATAACAAACCGTATCAGAGGCTACTTCTGCTACAACAACAGTGTGAGTCACAATCTGTTCCTGTCAAAGTGTGGCTGCTTGAGGTTTCTCATGTAGACAGTTTAAGTGAATGGAGTTGCCTATGTTGAAATGTGCAATAAATAAATATTCAAAAACTTCATTACATGAGAATGGAACTCTTCTTCTACATCAACATATCCCTCTTTA